GGAGAAGGGCAATCTATAGGAACACGCGTAAAACACCAAGGACTCGTGCCCCAGGAGAGGCCCAATACATAGGAACATGAGTAAAACATTTAGGATTGTGTACACAGGAGAAGGACCATCTATAGAAACATACGTAGAACATCAAAGAATCGTGCTCCAGGTGAGGCCCAATCGATAGGAGCATACGTAAAACACATGGGATTGGAGCCACTCCTGTTGCCTTCTGAGGCCTCCTGCTCCTGGGGCCTCTCGGGGCCTCCTGTTGCCTTCCGAGGCCTCCTGGCGCTTCCTGTTGCCTCCTGGGGCCTCCTGTGGTTTCCTGAGGCCTTCTGGAGCTTCCTGGGGCCTCCTGGAGCCTCTTGGGACATCCTGTGGCCTCTTGAGTCTTTCTGTGGCCTCCTGATGCCTCCTGGGACCTCATGTGGTCTCCTGGGGCCTCCTGGAGCCTGTTGGAGCCTCCTGTGGCATCCTGAGAAGAATCTGCGCCCACGAGCCTGGCCACCAAAACAAGCAAACCGATCGAGACATCCTCAAAATCTGGCCCACCTGGGGGGTGAAAATGAACGCCTCGCTCGAGACATCCTCCAAATCTGCTCCGAAAGCGAATGATGTTGGGCCCAGAAACAAGCAAACCGCCTGAGACATCCCCACAAAATGGCCGCGAACGAGCCCGTGCAACCACCCCTGGCGGCTCCCCTTAGGGGTGCTGAAATGAGCGCCTCGCTCGAGACATCCTCCAAATCTGCTCCGAAAGCGAAGGATGTTGGGCACAGAAACAGGCAAACCGCCTGAGACATCCCCACAAAATGGCCGCGAACGAGCCCGTGCAACCACCCCTGGCGGCTCCCCTTAGGGGTGCTGAAATGAGCGCCTCGCTCGAGACATCCTCCAAATCTGCTCCGAAAGCGAAGGATGTTGGGCACAGAAACAGGCAAACCGCCTGAGGCATCCCCACAAAATGGCCGCGAACGAGCCCGTGCAACCACACCTGGCGGCTCCCCTTAGGGGTGCTGAAATGAGCGCTCCGCTCGAGACATCCTCCAAATCTGCTCCGAAAGCGAAGGATGTTGGGCACAGAAACAGGCAAACCGCCTGAGACATCCCCACAAAATGGCAGCGAACGAGCCCGTGCAACCACCCCTGGCGGCTCCCCTTAGGGGTGCTGAAATGAGCGCCTCGCTCGAGACATCCTCCAAATCTGCTCCGAAAGCGAAGGATGTTGGGCACAGAAACAGGCAAACCGCCTGAGACATCCCCACAAAATGGCCGCGAACGAGCCCGTGCAACCACCCCTGGCGGCTCCCCTTAGGGGTGCTGAAATGAGCGCCTCGCTCGAGACATCCTCCAAATCTGCTCCGAAAGCGAAGGATGTTGGGCACAGAAACAGGCAAACCGCCTGAGACATCCCCACAAAATGGCCGCGAACGAGCCCGTGCAACCACCCCTGGCGGCTCCCCTTAGGGGTGCTGAGTATGAGTAAGTCTGTGTATGAGTAAGTCTGTGTATGAGTAAGTCTGGGTATGAGTAGGTCTGTGTATGAGAAAGTCTGTGTATGTGTACGTCTGGGTATGAGTAAGTCTGAGTATGACTAATACTGTGTATGAGTAAGTCTGGGTATGAGTGAGTCTGTGTATGAGTACGTCTGGGTGTGAGTAAGTCTGTGTATGAGTAAGTCTGTGTATGAGTATGTCTGAGTGTGAGTAAGTCTGAGTATGAGTAGGTCTGAGTATGAGTAAGTCTGAGTATGAGTAAGTCTGTGTATGAGCAAGTCTGAGTATGAGTAAGTCCGACAGGAGGGGAGGAGAAAAGAGGAGGAGGAAGGAGGAGGAGTAGGAGGCGTCCAAGTAATAACAATAACCCCATCTTAGGATGTGGGGAACTACTACTACTGCTGCTACTACTACTATTACTACTACTACTACTACTACTACACTACTACTACTACTACTACTACTACTACTACTACTACTACTACTACTACTACTACTACTACTACGACTACGACTACTACTACTACTACTACTACTACTACTACTACTACTACTAATAATAATACTAATACTAATACTACTACCACAACAACATCACGAACAACAACGACGACGACAACATCAACAATCATGTTGAGACTGTTCGCTCTTTGCTCGCGTGCCATTCAACACGTATATCCCGAACGCTCGATACCCGTCCCCTTCGTCCTCGACCGTACCCCCTTGGGGGTATATCAGAGTGAGGGGGCCGAACGGTCATTCATTGTCCCTGGGTGCGTGGCTGAAATGCGTCGTTATTGTCGTCGTCCGCCCTGCGACCCAGCCCGCGACCCACCCGCGATCCACCTCGCGATCCACCCGCGACCCACCCCGCGACCCAACCGCGACCTACCCCCTACCCGCGACCCACCCCGCGACACGCTCGTGACCCACCCGTGACCCACCCGCGACCCACCCGCGACCCACCCGCGACCCACCCGCGACCCGGCCCGCGACCCACCCACGACCCATCGTCGACCCACCCGCGAGCCACATGCGATCCAACCCGCGACCCACCTACATTGTTTTAACCAAAAAGTCGGCGCCTGCGGCGGGCTCGCTATATAGCTTGAAGAATATTGCGCCTGCGGCGGGTTCCTTCAAAGTCTCGCAGACTGCCGACGTCCCTGCCGCCCCCTCTTTTTTATCCGCAACTGCGGGGTGCTACGATCTTTCTTGCCTGCAACGTGTATTTCGCGCAGCCCCTGAGGCAGGCGAAGACGAGGACGGATGGAAGGAAGGACAAGGGGGAGGGAGAAGGATGGAGCACGGGCTAGGAGCAGAAAACACGTGGCAGAACCAGACGGGCACATCGGGCGGGTAGACCCTCCCAGGCGTATCGGGAAGGAGGGCCCAGGCGGCCAGGTCGAGCGCGTCCTGCATGAATCGCGAGGAATTCTCAAGCGACAGCTCGATTCCCAAATCAATCGTGAGGACATCCACAGCGAGAGCGTGACTCCTGAATGTCGAGGGCGCGGCGTCTGAATGAATTGCGAGGAAGTCCCACGCGTGAGCGCGATTCATGACTAACTTATGAGGAAGTCCTGCGCGAGAGCGCCATTTGGGAATACATTGTGAGGAAGTATCAGGCGGGAGCCGTTGTTGTTGTAGTTCTGGGGCCAACAACGCAACTTGGGCCCGGTGACTTGCACTGATATAAAAAAAAGCGGGTGCGAGCCCTGGTGGAAGCGCTTCCGCTTAAAAAAACACAAGGGTCACTGGAGGGGGGATCAACAATAACTATTCCTCGGCAGCGAGAGCTCAACAACTCGTTAAAGGCTTAACGACTTCTGCCGTCCTTCGACTCGCGCTGGAGCGGCCGCGAAGTGCTCGAACTTTGCCTGGAGATCTCTGGATTTACCTGGATTTACCCAGATTTATCTAGATTTACCTGGATTTACATCGATTTATCTGCATTTACCTGGGTTTATCTGGCTCGATTCTCACAAGTCGATTGGCGAAAAGTCGACAAGCCCTAAGGGAACAACAACAGCAATCCTTCCCCCGTTGCTACCTACGGCGCGAGGCGGCCCCCTGGCATCGCCCCGTGCCCAGAGCCGCGCCCCGCCCTCCCTCTCGACGCGACCTGCCGCCCGCGCGCCGCACCGAAACGCCACGGCACCGCGGCGGCCCACGACGCCACGAGCGCTGGGCCGCAGCAGCTTGCCGCGGGAGCCAGACGCCAATCGACGCGAAGGATTGCAAAAAAAAGGATTGCAAAAAAAGGATTGCAAAAAAAGGATTGCAAAAAAAGGATTGCAAAAAAAAAGGATTGCAAAAAAAAAGGATTGCAAAAAAGTGGAAACAAAAAAGGATTGCAAAAAAAGGATTGCAAAAAACGTGTTTTTTTGCAAAAAAAGGATTGCACAAAAAAGAAACAAAAAACTGTTGTTTTTGCAAAAAAAAAAAAGTCGACGCTGAAGGCGGAATTGGAAGGGTATGCCAGGCTCCCACGGTTCGCTGCCGAGGGAGCCCGTGGGCGACTCCTCTGGCGCAGCACGGCCGTGGAGCCGAACTCTCTATACACCGACGACCTTCCCAGCCCGGCGCTGAAATCTGCACGGGAGGGCGGGTCCCCGCCAGTGGTAATGTAGATGTTCCAGTCTCCGACACGGAGACCACGGGAACTGTTTTACGTCGCATCGCGGCAGAATCAGTCCGCACGCGCGTTCAGCAGGCCGGGGGACGGCATTGCGAATTGTCCCGACGGAGACCTCGGGAACGCGCGCGCGCGCAAAAACAAATTCTCGACCTCGGCGGCCGACGGTGCACGGTGCGCCGTGCCCATTTCCTCGTATGGCCAACCAACCTCCGCTTCCGCAGATGCAGAAGGGTGTGAGACACGTCTGCAAAGCATCTCTGTTTGAAAGCATCCAAACCGAAGCCACGCACAGAAATACGAACGACTCTCAACCAACTCATTCTGAATGGGGGCCGGCGGAGTGGCGTAAGCCTCATCAACTCCCCACATCGGCGGCCTTCTGCGGGGAGGCGAAGACGGCGACCACGGGTTACGACGAAGCCAGGACCGGGACAGAATCGAGGGACAAATCGGAGATCTCTGAGATCCGGCGGTTCTGGAGGACACATCGGGCTCCGCGCCCTTTCCACAGCGCTGCGGGACGCTCCGAGAGCGTTCTGGAACGCTCTGGAACGATTTCTCCCAGTCCTAGCCCCACCCGCCGGGGGCCTCTGGCTGCAATCGGATCCCTGCCCCCAGAAGTGACGACTTCAGCACACGCCGAGCGTGATGGATATCGGCCGAGCCTCCGCCAGCGCACAGACGCACCACCTCCCGTGCACGTCGCGCCTGCACGCCCACACGAGCCAGGATGAAACCGCAGGAAAGCACGCCATCGGTTTGCCATCGCGCTAACAGAGGGTAGTGCGACAGCTTTGTATCATCCTCCTCCGAGACAGATCCATCAGGCCCTCCTCCCCCGAGACAAGTGCATGGGAAATAGGAATCTCCTTGGAGAGGAAGCGGGTCCAGCTGTCGCTGACCCGCCGCCACTGCAGCAGGAAGGCGTCGTGCTGTTCAACGAGAGCCGCAGGCGGATCTTCGCTGCTCTCCGCGAACCTGGACGAGTACATGTCGATATGGGCGGCAACCTCGGGGAAGGGGGGAAGGAACGAAGAGACAATTTGCAGCTGACAAACGGCACGCCGACGACCAACTGATTACGCAACAAGGACCTCTGCAATCGCGACAACACGAAAAAAGTATGATAAGTGAACCATTCGAAGATCATCAGTGGCCCATTGCTGCGTCGAAAGGCATCAGTCGGTCATGGGTGGGCCATCAGCGGGTCAATTCAGTTAGTGGGCCATAACCGGGCCCATTCCTTCGCCGCTACGAGAGTTCCGCCAGAATGCAGCGCCTCCTGTCAGGCCACGGGGCCCAGGTACAGCGCTGCTGGTGGCGGTGCGCCAGTGACAAGAGAGGAGGCGTCACAAGGGCATGTGAGGCCGCGGGGCCCCAACACAATGCTCTGTTCGTGCATTGTGTTGCTCGGGCGGAACGGCCCTTTCAAATTGGAGACCGAGGGCTTCGGAAAATCCAGCCGGAACCGTTCTTGGGAGGGACTCCCAAGCGAGAACCCCAATCTAGAAACCTATGGGAGAACTTTGCAACTTGAACTGCCAAACGGTGTAGCACTTTCGAAACGACGGATTCGCTTGAGACATCCTCGAGAAAACAATTCCAGAAGGTTTCGATGTTTTCGGGTTCGATTTCGAAATGGCGCTCCCGCCCAAGACTTCCTCCAAACGAAAGCTCGGGACCGCCCAGGTTCGATTTCGAAATGGCGCTCCCGCCCAGGACTTCTTGAAATCTGGAATTCGACACCCTACTGGCTCGATTTCGAAATGGCGCTCCCGCCCAGGTCTTCCTCGAAAATAAAGGTCTCCACTTCTTCGGCTCGAGATCGCAATGGCGCTCCCGCCTAAGAATTATTCAAACTCAGAGTTGGAAACCTGTCGGGCTCGATTTCGAAATGGCGCTCCCGCCCGAGATTTCCTCGAAACTCAAATTGTAAACCCTTCTGCTTCGACATGGCGCTCCCGCCCAGGACTTCCTCCAAAACAGACTTCGAACCTCTCGTGATCGGTTTCTCACCCACAACTGAAAACCTTCGTTTTGCGCTGCCTCGGTGGAGGCACGAAGCGGGCCAAACCCTCCGCAGCGCCGATGTAGTTGGCCACTAGCGGTGCACAGATCGCGGGTCATTCCATGAGCAGGAGTGAGGGGACGATCTCCATTAAGAGAGGGCAGAGAATCCACCCAGTATGATAACCACCCTGGCACGTGAAACCGTTTAGTAAACGCACGCAAAAAAGGAATCAAGCATGGCAGGGCCGCTTACTAAACGCCCAGGGCCGCTTATTAAACTCCATTTGTCCGGTCCAGGTGGTTTCCCCTCCCTTGAACTAAGAAAGGTCTTTCCTCCGACGTCACCATTCTACTGTGTGGCGCGGGCCGAAGGGCTCTTCACCTCTTGCAACCAGGGCCGGCTCTGCATCCAGGGCCGCTCTCGCCGTCCTGGGGCTCAGAAGCGCTCTCCGGGGTGGGGGCAACACGGCGATCGGTCACTTGGCCGCCTCTTGGGACGCCAAGACGCCAAGACCCGAGGTCGCCAGACATCTTTCGTGGGCCCCCCCTTAGTGCCCAGCACGACACTGGGCTGACGCTGACAAGACCTGGATCTTTGAACGTCGGCCCTTCGAGGCATCGGCGGCTGTCGACGGCGGAGCGGGGCGCCAGGCTCTGCAGGGCGGTGAGGAGCAGCGGCGCTTCGGAGCGGAGCGGTCTGACGGCGAAGCGGTCGCTCGGCGGCGAGGCACAAGAGCAGAAGCAGCTGGGCAGGCCGCGCCAAATGGTTCGAAGACTTCCCAGGGGAGGACGGGGAGGACCAGCACGCGAGCCCCAGGTGCCCCCCCCCACCGACATGAGCCAGGCCCCGCCCCTGGTGACCCCAGAGACCCTCCAGGTGGGCTCCAATAAAGTGCTTTGCGTATGTTCCTATAGTTTGCCAATCTCCTGGTGCTCGAGTCCTTAGTGTTTTGCGCATGTTCCTTATTACAAGCTACCCTTCTCCTTGGACTCGAATGCAGCAGCGGGGCCCACCAACACCTTGCAGGGCCCTTTGGCATGAGCATGGCTGCAGTGTAGGTGACGCGTAGACCGCTTCAAATTGAGGGCCGACGGTATGACCAGGCGGCGGTCCCAACTCAGCCCTCCTCCGCTTTCGGGTCATAACTCGGGCCTTTGGCTGCCGTTCGGGACGATCCGAGCACCCTGGAAAGGCCTCGGCGAGGCGCAGCTGCTGGAACGCATCCCAAGGCTGGAAAACCTCCAGGAACCAACGCAAGCGTCCGAAAACTTCAAACGTCGAGCCCCGCTCCACCCTCCCCCTTTCCCCTCCCTGTCTTTTATATACCAAAGCCCTTTCCCTTCTGGTGGAGCGCCGCCGCCCCCGAAGGGGCCCGAGCGCGTGCGGTCCCGCCCCCGCGGACCTTCTGCACGTCGAGCTCGAGTTGCTTCACCTCGTCGTCGAGGGTGTCGACTTCGCTGCGCTTTGTCAAGCTCTCCCCGTCCCTCTGGCGAGGGTCAGGGGGGAGTCACCGCCCTCCTCCTATTCATCATCATCATCATCATCATCATCATCATCATCATCATCATCATCATCATCATCATCATCATCATCATCATCATCATCATCATCATCCTTTCTCCTGCTCTTCCTCCCCTCCTCCCCCTCCTCCGTCCTCCTCCTCCTCCTCATCCTCCTCCTCCTTCTCCTCCTCCTCCTCCTCTTCTCTCCTTGCACTCCTCTCCCATCTCTCTTCCTTATCACGACTCCGCCCTGTCGCAGAACTAGGCGCATACGTAGGTTGGGCCGGGCGTTTCGCCTGAGGAATCCTCGCGGTTTGCGATCGTGACACTGAAGAAATCCAACGGGCATAAGGATATGGATCCAATCGTTTTGAACATGCGGCTCTCGCCTTGGCGCCGCGCATCTCGCCTTAGCGTCGCGCGCCGTTGTTTTACACGTTTCTAACAAGTACATTACAGGGATGGATGCCATCATGTATTCAGTTTGCGACTCTCGCTTGAGATTTCCCCGAGTTCTACGACCTGGGATCAAATCGTCACTAAGTACACAGATGGAGCGCAGCTCATTTTCAAACGTGCGCTCTTGCTTGACATCTGGGCAAATTGTGTGGCAGAGCTGTCAAACTGCGCGCCTCGTGAAAGGATTGAGTGCGGCTCCTTCACAGCATGAGGCTATCGATTGACACTCTCTTGACCACGGTAACCCTACATGGTGAGCGTTTTCTTCTTCGGCGTCTCGACATTGGGCGGAGGGGGGGGGGGGGGGTCTGGCTCCGGACCTCTGCTTAGCGCGACTGTTTGGAACAGCGTTTACCATTGGGGCGGGACTCCCCCTGCCCGAAACAGGCGCCCAAACAGCCAAGACCCACTCCATGGGGGGGAGACTCCACCAGCTCGAAACATGCGCCAAAAAACAGCCAAGAGCCACTCCATGGGGGGGGAGGGGGGGTGCGCGGGCCCGCGTCGATCAGAAAAACAATGGATAAACAAACGATCACATGGGTACTTACCAGGGGTCCTGGTGTTTCGGTGCTCGCGGGGATTTCATGAGCGCTTACTGCGTGCGCAGGATGAGGTTGAAGAGCAGGATGATGGGCTTGTGTTCCTCCACCACCACCACCACCAGAAGTTGGAGGGGGAGGGGGTCCTCCTCCACCTCCACCTCCACCTCCTCCTCCTCCTCCTTCTCCTCCTCCTCCTCCTCTTCGTCTTCATCCTCTTCGTCTTCCTCCTCCTCCTCCTTCTCGTCCTCCTCCTCCACCTCCACCTCCACCTCCTCCTCCTCCTCCTTCTCCTCCTCCTCCTCCTCTTCGTCTTCCTCCCTCTCGTCCTCCTCCTCCTCCGCCCCCCCCTCCAACTCATCGCACGGTTGTGGTCCCGTTCGGCTGGGGAGGGGTGGCAGGTGACTCCCCGCCGGAGCGAGGGGGGGGGGGCCTCCTCGCCTGTGAGGCAGGCCCACGGGGCGCTGTTTTCTCTCGCGCACGCGCGCCTCTCCCCCCCCCCCAATGGAAGGGGAGACCTCTGCAGAGACACGAGGAGAGAGCTTGAAACCCAGACCCCTTCGAGTCACGAGAAAAATCACGACGGGAGGCCTTTCGCCATTTTCGGCCTCCGGGGGCCGTCACTGGGCCTCGGGATCGTCGAACAACGACTCGGGCAGAAAAGCGGGTCCCAGGGAATGGGTCTGGACCTTTGGGGGTCGCGTCATGAAAAAATCACGACGTCGTGGGTCTGGAAACGAAATGTTGTACTGCACCATCCTTCTTTCTTTCCTCCGCCTCTCCCGAATCTCCACCAACTGCTTGCGCAGCCAGCAGGCCGACCCCCGCACAACTCAACGTGCATCGGCCAGGTTGTACAGACAACGCATCGGCAAAGTTGGCGCTCTACCAGGCTTGACGAAGAAGCAAGAACAAGGCAGGGTGATTCGCTCAATCACTAACTACGGGGACATGTGGACGTCGTTGTCGTGCAACTTTGGACGCCCGAAGTGAGCACGGAAGAACTGGGCACGACGCCCAACAAATGTAGTCCCAAACCGACAGCGGCCGCTGCTGGGCAGGCGGCCTTCTGTCTCCAGTGGACCAGGCCCGCGGCGGCACCGACAACACGTCTTGCTCAAAATGGTCAGGAACTGCTGTCGGCCTTTGTGCCCCGTTTTTCCGTCCCCGTTCCGACGGTCCCGAACAGCATCGTGGACGAGCCTGGCTCTGCTCCAGCGCTCTGCCCTCCTCCTCCTCCTCCTCCTCCTCCTCCTCCTCCTCCTCCTCCTCCTCCTCCTCCTCCTCCTCCTCCTCCTCCTCCTCCTCCTCCGCCTCCTCCTCCTCCTCCTCCTCCTCCTCCCCCTCCTCCCCCTCCTCCTCATCCTCCTCCCCCTCTCCTCCCCCCTCCTCCCCCTCCTCCTCTCCTCCTCCTTCCTCCTCCTCCCCTCCCTCCCTCCTCCTCCTCCTCCTCCGCCTCCCTCCTCCTCCTCCTCCTCCTCCTCCTCCTCCTCCTCCTCCTCCTCCTCCTCCTCTCCTCCTCCTCCTCCGCCTCTCCCTCCTCCTCCTCCTTCCTCCTCCTCTCCCTCCTCCTCCTCCTCCTCCTCCTCCTCCTCCTCCCCTCCTCCTCCTCCTCCTCCTCCTTCCTCCTCCTCCTCCTCCTCCTCCTCCTCCTCCTCGCCTCCGCGCCTCCTCCTCCTCCTCCTCCTCCCTCCTCCTCCTCCTCCTCCTTCCTCCTCCTCCTACTCCTCATTCCTCCTTACCTCCTCCCCATCCTCCCCTCCTCGTGCTCCGCCCCCTCCTCCTCCTCCTTCTCTCCTGCCTCCTCCTCCTCGCACGCAGCCGAGCGCCACGTGTCCTCAGGCCTGCGACCGCCCGCGCCAGGGAAAGGCACGCTCCGGCGGCACAAACGCGCTGCCGCCCGGCGAGTGCCGAGCGAGGGCCAGCGGCCTCGTAGCGGGCCCCCCTCCTCCTTCCTCCTCATCCTCCTCCTCTCCTCCTCCTCCTCCTCCTCCTCCTCCTCCTCCTCCGCCTCCTCCTCCTCCTCTCCTCCTCTCCTCCTCCTCCTCCTCCTCCTCCTCCTCCTCCTCCTCCTCCTCCTCCTCCTCCTCTCCTCCTCCTCCTCCTCCTCCTCTCCTCCTCCTCCTTCTCCTCCTTCTCCTCCTCCTCCTCCTCCTCCTCCTCCTCCTCCTCCGCCCCCCTCTTCTCCCCCCTCCTCCTCCGCCCCCCTCTTCTCCCCCTCCTCCCCTGGCGCACCCCTACGACAGCGGTCCCTCCCAGCGCCGCGCGGCCGCGCGGCTGCGCGGCCGCGCCCGACGGGCTCGGCCCAAACTTTCGGACGCCGCCGAGGGTAGCTTCCAGAGACGGGGAGGAGGGAAGCGAGGGAGGGGGGAGAGGAGAGGGAAGGGAGGAAGGGGAGGGAGGGAGGAAGGGGTGGTGGTGGTTTGGCTGGCGAGGTGCTTCGGACCTCACCTTCGTCTTCCTTCTCCACCTCCTCCTTCTCCACCTCCTCCTGCTCCCCCTTTTCCTCCTTCTCCTCCTCCTCCTCCTCTTCTCCTCCTTCATTCATTTCTTCATGGGCCTTATGAGGTCAGCCAAACGGAGCTCGCCTGACCTCACCACAAAATGACGAGCGGGGCCTCGGCCTCTTCCTGGGCCAAGGCACCCCGCACCCCCCGACGCCCAGAGCCCTGGGGCATTGCAGAGGGCTCTTGAGGGCTCGATGGGGTAATCCGCAGGCCATCTCCCCGAAGGGCGCCCAAGCCACGCCCGCGATCCCCCTGGGGCCCACCTGTAAAGGGCGACGGGAGGGGTGCGGGCGGGGAGGGGCACGGCCAAGCTGAAATGCACGAATAGGAGGCACGAGGCCTCCTCCTTCACAAAATACAAAACCAATGCCGTCGACCACCCACACAAGGACGACGCGGTCTGCCACCCCAGGTGCAGGCAGCGCCTGGACGGTGGCAGGCCACGCCCCCGATGTGGGGTATGCACACGGATGCCTGCCCTGAGGGTCAGTCGCATCGGGCCGTGCGCGATTGGCAGGAACATTCTAGCACGCACACTCGCTGACTGCTCTGGGCAAGTGCTGGGACGCGGGGGATGGCTGTCTCCCCCCTCCCAGCTTGGACTTAACTGTCACGGGCAAAATCATTGAGTTGGGATGTAGCAGGTCGCACAAACTCAAAACTTATATCTGAAGAATAGAATGAAAAACACCGGCGACGCCAGGACGACAAGCCATGAAGACCCCAGGTGTGCCTTACCCAAGCGGGCGGACGCCTGGACGGCCCCTGGCTTGCCCCTGGTGTGGGCCTGACTCCGCCGCCGAGCCAGTGTCCCCATGGCGGGCCCTCCAGATGCGTCCTAAGACAACAGGGCAGAGCGATCAAGGACCCGCCGTCTTCCGCTCCAACGAAGGGAACAAAGGCTTCGGGCAGACGTGTCTGAGAGACAGGGAAGGCAACGGTCGGGGCGAGATATGCCCGCGTGCCAGATCCTTACACAGCAGCTGGACGATGCCCCCCCTCCTCGCCCAACTCCCCGCCCAGGTCCCTCCACCACTGGGCAGCTCCATGGAGGACTCTCCAGGGGCGGGTGAGACGGGTTCCTTTGGGCCAGGGTATTGTGCCTCGGCGAAAGCAGCGAACCGGAGTTTTTTTGTTTAAAAAAATGCAAGGCTCCAAGAGGTGCTTGGGGGCGCGGGCGCAATGCGACCCGCGCCGCGTGCAGTGCAGGACGGGAATGCCTGTGGCATCAACCTTGCGCGCCCACAATTTGCGCCCAGGTGTTGGGAGGTCAACGCCTCGCACCAGGGCCCCAAAAGAGGGAGGAAAAGTAGCGCGCCTGTTGCCCCGTGACGGGGGAGTTTTGAAACTCTTGGCGCACGAGAGGCACTGCCAAAGACGGCCATTCCACAAAACATTGTTCTGCCTTTGGTTTCGGGGGGGGGGCATAAATTTTTGGATTCTCTCTCGAGCGCCCCGTGCATTTCTCTGGCTGGG